TGATTCGTCCAATTTTTTAATATGACTTTGAAGAGTGTGCCTGGTCGGTTGTGGATAGGATTTGGTTAGACCGATTTGGTTAAGGTCGGTTTATTGGGCTGGTCTCTGGATCGAACCAGTTGGCCAAGTTGGGCCTGTCGGGTTTGGGCCGAGTTGGCTTTCGTTTGGGCTTGGAATGGGCTGGGATGGTCTCTTCTCATTTTTCAGGTAAATGGGCTTGGTTGACTGAGAAAGCTGGGCTAGTGGACCAGATTCACCTCAAAGCTCAAATATTCCTCTCTTTGTAATTTATATGTACAAATCCAATTGCGTGGCCCAAATTTTGTAGAGCTAGTATTAGTCATTGTAATTAATTCTAATTCTTGTTTTATTTAAAGGTCATTACCCAAGTTGTATGATGTATCAACTTTGAATCGTTGATAATAAAGCCCATTTTACTATTCAATTTGTCCCATTTCAGATACCGAATCCAAATCAAAACTCGTGAGACAAAATTTTGCAATATAGTCACTTCTTCCATTCAATTGAGAATTTATATTTAAGATTCGCCACTGCTAATCTTATCTTAAATCGATCCTATCGTAACTAATTAACTAATTATGCCCTATGCCCTATAATCGACTAGGAGCAAATTTGATAATTGTTGATTCATATTGACTTGCAACTGCTAGTCTCAACTAAAATATCTTCAATTTCCTTTTTAAATATAATCGTAGTACGACGTTACAATAATTATTTTCAATAAAACGATTCCCGGAGAAAATGTGGTGTCTACACTACCGGAAATATGAATTTCCCCACCTTGACCAATACATTCTCTACTATTCCATTTGGTACCTTCATGGAACGATCAGCCAACTGAATAATGTTATGAGTGGGCTTTAAAGAACTCTTCAATCCCAACTTCTTGTATACTGAAAAAGGTATCATGTTGACTGCCGCTCCAAGATCACAAAGCGAATGATCAAACTCTTTGCCACCAATAATACAAGGGACAGTGAAACTCCCTAGATCATCCCTTTTATCTGAAACTTTATTTTGAATCACAACATTACATTCAGAGTTAAGGGTTACCTTCTCTATGTCAGCCCACTTACACTTATTAGTAAGCAACTTTTTAAGATCTTTGCATAAGTAGGCATTTGCTCCAACGCCTCGGCCAATGGTATGTTGATATGGAGTTGTTTGAAGAGGTTGAGGAATTTCTTGTAGTTTGGATCATCTTGGGGCTTCATAAACCTTTGAGGGAAAGGTGCAGGAGGTTCATAAGGCTTGACTCCTTCATCTTTGAATTTTTCATGTTTTGGAGGTGAAGTTGATGAATGCATGTGCAGTGTCAAAGTGCCTGCATTTTGATCCTGCACATCAGTCTCTAAATTTTCTGCAGCAAAATTTTCAGCACATTCCTTGTCTTGTGATGAATTTTGGATCTTTGGGGTTGTCTCCTTTAGCTCTTTTCCACTCTTCAACGTTATGGAACACATCCTTTGTCTTCCTATCGAAATTGCTTTGGGAAGTTTCTGATATGCGATCTTGAATATTTGCTAGAATTTGAGTAATTTGACTCATTTTCTCCCACATTCTAAGTATGGATGTCTGCATAGTGTTGTTGATCACCTTTTGTTCTTTAAGTTGATTGGTGGTGTAAGCAGCAAATTCATCTAGCCCCTTCATGTTGTTTTCCATCTTCCTCATGTGTGAAAATATGAGCTCTTCAAACGCGGGCTTCTTCTCTTCTAGAGGTTCTTGAGGTTGAAATCTAGGAGGTGCATTGTTTCTTCGGGCTCCAACATTGTTGTTGGACCATGAGAAGTTGGGACGGTCACGCCATCCAGAATTGTAGGTGTTGGAGTATGCACCACCTTGATTTCTTTGGTTGTTCATATAGTTGACCTCTCTTGATTGAGTAGCTCCCAACATACACTTCTTCTCAAAAAGGTCAAATATTGAATCGAACTTGGCTTCTAGTCGAGCTTCCAAGCCGGTAAACTTGTCTACTTCATGGATACCTCCTCTCCTTCGAGAACTCTTCTCCCCACCCCACTCATCTTCATTCAAACATATTCTTTCAACTAGATCGTAGGCAGCTCCAGGCTCCATGGCTGTAAATCTTCCACCAGATGCATGGTTCAATGCTTCTCTAAATACTCTCTTTATTACATCAAAGAATATGGAGATAACAATCCATTCTTCTAGACCATGGCTTGGGCATTTGAGAAGTAGCTCTTTGTAATGCTCCCAAGCTTCACTTAGGCTCTCACCATCAATTTGCTCGAAATCTGCAATGTCCTTCTGCCTCTTCATCGCCTTGGACGGTGGAAAATACTTGTCTAGGAAAGCTTTTTCTAGTTGCGCACTTGCGCCCACGTGGTGATAGATCGAGGCGCCAGGTTTTGGAACCAATGATCCGCTCGACCTATTAATGAGAATGAAAACATACGCAGCCGAATTGCATCATTTGACACGTCATGATTCTTTATGGTGTCACAAATGCTACAAAATCTCCTCAAATGGTCATGAGGATCTTCTGTACTTGCTCCTGAGAATGTGTAGCCATTTGTGATCATGTTGATGAAGGATGGTGTGATGTCGAGATTGATGTTGCCAGTTGGAATGACAACACCTGAAGTTTGAGCTCCAGTTCTTCGGTTTAGCTTGCCCCGTATGGAACGATCTTCAGGTGGATCATCTCTCCTCTCGTGATGGTGGTGGTGGTGGTGGTGGTGGTTGATATTTTGGTTGGTGTAATGGCCATTGATTGCTCCCTCCTCCATGTTGTCTATTGGTGAAGAGGTGGAACTCCCGATTTGACAGTCTTTTGGTGAGGTAGGTGCCGATTTGGTTGTTTTGGCTCTCCCTACCCTTGTTTGTTTTCGGTTGTACTTACAGGCCTTCTCGATCTCATGATTTAGTGGCAGTAACTCCTTAGTCTCCCTTCTTCGCATATACAAAGAAGAAATTTCCTGCAACTTTTTCTGCAACCTAAAGCACAAATCAAAACAGTTCATTCAAACAAAAATTAATTAAAATTGAATTTTGGCAATCCTCGGCAACGACGCCAAAAACTTGGTGGAGACAAAACTGCAAGTGTACAGTGTCGTACAAGTAATAAAGTGTAAATAAATTATCGTTCTCTAGGGAATTGGTGAAATTCAATAATTAACAAATTTAGTTCAAGAAACTATAGAAATTGCAAAGGTGGTAATCAAGTGATGATTTTCAAAGATAGCACAAGTTAAGTAACTCGATAAATCAACTATTTTGGAGAAATTCATATTGGAGAGTTCAAGGGGAAATACAAGATTTTACTATTTTACCTCAATAAATTTAATTACCCTTTTCAATCAATTTAATCCATATTTCTACAATCGGGATACCTATAATTTGATAGCTATCTCTATCGAGAATTACCACGTACTAACTAATTAAGACAATTTCTACTATCGTAGTTAACTGAATTAATTAATTAGCCTTAAGAACGATATCCCTAAAATGGCTGCATAATTCCCTATTTAAACCACTATCGCTTCGATAGGCAATTATGTCGTGTGAAATGTGTTCGGTTACTGGTTTTCACTATCGTGATTAACCTAGAAAACTACAAATCATTGTGAAGGTGGCCAATCAACACAAAGCGTTAAACAATTTCACACGATAGAAAATGGAGAAAAACAAGTCGTGATTAAAACATCGAGGCTATATAATGAAACCATAAGTTTCCCCCAGAAATTGGAGGATTAGTTCATGATGAAAAGAAAGAACATAAACATGCTAATGTTCGACATCATAACTAATTACCAAAAGAAAGATGTAGAGAAAGTACTAAGTGTTGAAGTTAACCCCCAACTTACAAGAGTATTCCTTTCTTCAAAATGCTCAACTCCAAAGTATGCCAAAGTGAGCTCTCTCCTTTGATTTTTCTCTCCAAAATTTGTCTCCAAAAGTGTCTCCTAAGCTCCCTAGTTGCTGCCCCTTTTAAATCCATTTTCTGCAGATTTAATCCCACAAAACAAGGCAATTGCATATCCCATTTCCAAGAGAAGGTTGCTGCCAGCTTAAGTCTCTCTCCTTGCATTTATTTTTATGCAACTATTTTATCAATTGGTGAGCCACCAAATCCATTTGCTCACTTCAAGAAAACTTATCCAATTCCAATGATTTCTGAGGCCGCTGACGATTGAGTGAAGATTCCAACCAACAATAATTCAATTTGGGTCTTTATTGGTTTGGCGTCCTGCTGGATGATTGCCACTGAACGTCTGCACTTTGCCACTACACCTGCATTCGTCCACTGCACTTTGTTTTGTTCACAAACTTAGCTTCAATCTGCGTTAAATCACTACATTTCTTGGTAGTGACACTAGGGTCATTCCATGGTCAATATGAACTAATTTAGAGCAATTTAAACCCATACATACAAAAGGATCAATCATTTATGCACATAATACATGTATGTTTATGAAGCTTATCATCGCACAACCCCCAACATCCATCGTTCTCGTAGAAGTTTCCCAATGTTTCCTAGTAGAAACAGAAGTTCGGAAAACCCCAACTCCCATAAATTTGTCCCCACAACCTTGTTTCACTACCGCCAGCTAGAATCAAAGGCTAAAGAGGGGAGAAGCTATTTTTTTTCTTAAGAAAAGACGCGATCAAGGTAATCTCTTTGACATTATGTACTAGGATAGCCTCTTCGATGGTTTGTTGGAACCCTAGGGCTGCAAACTGTATCGTGAATGTGGAATGTTTAATCTTCATCCCCGACTGTGTGTAGAAAAGGAGGCGAATCAAGGGCAGGTTCTGTTACAAAACGGCAGCCAGTTGTTGCCCACGACAGGGAGGCTTCTTGGAGCAGGGTCGGTAGGAAGAAGAGAAAGAGGGAAGTGATGGCAGTTATCGAGGCAAACAACCGAGAAAGGGGTGACAATGAAGGAGCCCCAGCGGTGCAAAAATTCCAATTCAAATGCAGAACAAAGGGGTTGATAGCAGTCAGAGATTTGCTATTGTCCAAAGTTGATGAAGGTCTGCAAGATGGGGTTCGGTGGGCTGTTAGATGTTGCCATGACATAAGTCAACTCTAATTTTGTCCGGAATCTAATAGAGAGGTACAATCCAGATTCGTGTAAGTTCAACCTGGGTGCAGGGAGGTCAGTTTCCTTCACTCCAGCTGATGTCCATCTAGTGTACGATTTACCATTGGGAGGTGCCACCATTTGAGACAGTAAGTGCCCAAGGGATAGGCTGACAATCCTGGTGAAAGAGTTAGGTGTGTAGACAAACGATGGAGGATCGATCGACTGCAAGGATCTTGAGGAAGTTACATTGGGAGCCAGGTTTCCCCGCAAATTTGGGAAGCTATTTGTTCTGTTGGCTGTGTCATCCGTAATAGCTCCAACGACGCAAAACATCATCACTATGGGCAGATTCGCCGAGACCCTCATCGGGGAAAACTCCAAAGTCGCAAGGTGGAATTGGTCAGGGTATGTTGCGCACCACCTTCACCGAGGCATTTGCAGTTTTAAGAATGGGGAAGTGACGAACTTTCCAAAAGGGGACTACCACTTCCTTCTGGTAAGTTATTTGGTCTATGAATTAAAATGGAATATATGGTGCAGCTTTTCTTATACGAACATTATAGCACTGCTTCGGTCCAATAAGCAGATTAATTTCCTCGAGTCTATTGATCTTCACGGTGATCCGCCGATCGGGACAAGCCCTAGCTGTGCATTGTGGACAGGCACTCGGATTTGCGAGGCCATGGAGTTCATCAATTCTCAAGGGGGATTCAGCAACCTAACATGCGCTGGAGGTTGAGGGGAAAATGTTCGACGTTGATTCTGAATGAAAGGATATGGTGGACCAAGGGTGTCCAGTTCAGGTGGCTACTGCATTAATTCCCACCACTTACCATTTGTTGTTGAAGAGTTGCCCTATGTTATTTGTGCTTGTTACTGTCAGGAAAATAGTTATGCATGCTTAATTTGTTCCGATATGCAGAAGGAAGCCCTTTTTCGCGACTGCTAAATTGGAGATGGGGAGGTGGGGACAACGACTGGTATACTCTGCCATGAAACGATCCTGGCAAGATGTTAGAAAATAGTGGCGGGAGAGGGTTTTAGTCAAAACGGACGAGTCAAGTTCAGGCTCTGAAAATGTAAGTTAATTAGATAGGTCGTTGCCTGAGTTGCAAGAGAATGTTTGCACCAAGTGCGCTGCAAAGTATGTTTTTTCGGAAGACGAGGGGGTTGGCAAGGAAGGAGATGGTTGTGAAAAGATTATGGGGAACAAGAAGGGGGATGGCAAGGCAGGAGATGGAGGTGAAAAGATTATTGAGAACAAGGAGGGGGGGCATCACCTGAATAGAATACCCCGTCAGAGGAGGCTAGCATCGGGCAAAAATAGTCGGTTAACGTTCAAGGGAACGTTGGAGGGACAACCGCTATTCGTCATACGTCTGCGATGGAGGAAGAGGGCCAACAAGGTTAGAGTAATAAGGGGGGGGGGGAACCGTTGTGGCTTGTACAGGGGAAATGGATGGGGTTGTACTAACACATGGACAAGGACTCCAGGAAAATGTTGCGAGTGGGGAACGTCAATTGCAGTCAGAGGAGCAGAAGGAAGTAAGCCAGACAAGTATGGAGAATGAAGATAAAATGACGAAGGAGATAGTGGGGGAAGGGTTTGAAGGGACCTACTAAGAACCTGTGATGCAAATTGTGCAGTCAGTGTGTGTAGATTTGGATGGAAATGAGGAGGAGGGTGAGCAAGGGCATGACATCAATGGTTCTGAAGCAGAAACACCCAAAAAATTTGATCATACCGATCGGACTCTACACTAATATGTGCTTCATTATCTTTGAGAAGTATTTGGGTAATGCATAAATTTTATGTACAGGGATAGACTTAGTGGATGTCGACACACTACACTCTCCTTGTATATCAAGCACCCATGGGATCGGGGTTATGTTTAAAAGACAAAGGCATTGTGTCCAGTGGAGACAAGTCAATTACCAGCATTCCAAAGCCGTGAAAGACAAGCTATCGAAGGAAGTGAGAAGCATTGTTGAGTTTGCCCTCTCGGATTGGGACGATCCGGAAAAGGAGAGGTAAAGTGTTGTACGACATTTCCTTGTACGTCTAGGTGTACTTTGGAAGTTGCGTTAACATTGTATTTGCATGTAGTGAGGCAGTCTTTCACCAGTCTCCGACGATGAAGGTGCTTAAGAGTAATCTCCACATTCTGAAGGAGTTTAACAAACATGAAGGGAATGTGATAAGTGCCTTTGCAAACTGCCTCAACTCAGACACTATGACATCCAGAGCAAAGCTCACCCGATACTGCTTCGAACTTCATGTGGGGGTAAGTCAATGTGATAGTTGCCATTTAATTGTGCCTGCAATTGCTAGGGAACAGTTGAATCACCTACTTAATTGCATGACCAAAACTACGCACATATTGATTTGCGCGAATGGATGTGCAATGATGAGGCATCGATGGAAACGAGGGTGGTGAGTATGGGCCGAAGGTTTCGAGCAAACCCCAATCTGTCAGCAGCTAATTTCAGTGAATGTGATTATGTGAGAAAGTTCACCTTTAATATAATTTAAGGAAACCTTTTCTGCTCGAGTAATTGACTTGCAAATGTGAATTTCAGTTCTTCTTCCCGATGCATTTGGCGGGTCACTATATGTGCTATGTCATCAAAATGAGGAGAAAGTGTTTTGTCTTCCTGAACAGCTTACCTTACCAGGACAGCTTCGAGACCGAGCTGCTACCGTTGGGAAAACATGTGATGAACATCGGAAGGAAATTCATTAGGTCGATACATGAAGATGTAGACTTCAACGACTTTGAATGGGAGGTCCTTCACTATCCAGAACAGAATGATGGAAAGAACTGTGGTGTTTTCTGCTGCCTTTTCATGGAGCATTATGATGGACACTTCACAATGGAACAGAAAGTTGGCTGGAAGGAAAAGATTGCTATAAACACACAGCTCGCAAAAATAGTTGCCCGAATCTTGGTGGATGGGCAGAACGAGAAGCTGGATTGGTTGAGGGTGAAGGCACAAGAGAGGTTGGATGCCATGAGATCCAAACAGAAAAGGAAGCTAGTGAAGACCAGGTGTTTACCTTGAAGTGAGGGCTATTTGATTGTGGTTTTGTACATTTTTTCCTATTTAATTTGGGTCTGTTACACCCTAACTTAGATAATTGAACATACAATGTCGCTATGACATTTTTTGCCTAGACAAAGTCACTTTTAGGGGGTTTTGGGGGGTGGGGTTATTTTGCGATCGATCAATGTCACCCTCGCTCGTAGTGTTTATTAGTCAAGTGACTGGCGGCCTTTTTGTATAGAAGGTTGTTGTTATTTCGGCCTACCTTAATCTAATCTAAATCTCGCGAGTTGGAATGCATTTTAATCACCTCATACAAATCCTGCCCACACTAATATGGCAATTTCTGTTATGGGACTTTGATGGAATAGTGTCCAAACTAACGTGATATTTGTGTACTGATAATATAGTATACGACTTATAGGAGTATTATATTCGTCCGACAAGAAAATTGTATTTTATAATAGATTGTAGTATGAAATCAAGCCTTCAAGAATACCATATTCTCCTAACATAAATAACATATTCTCATATTAAGAATATGATATTCATTAAGGGCATTGAAGACTTTTTACATTATTAAAAAGTAGGCCGACGAATAGGATAGCTATCAACAATACAATACAGACAAATTAAAACCTCATTCCCATTTGAGGTTGACTCTGATAAAACATCCTACAGATATAGAGAAATTATATGAAGATAAACAACTTAAACTCTATCCAACGATTGGCAAGCCAATGTCGTTAGGGCTACCACCACATTATACCAGTAGAAATAGACTAGAAGCGTAAAATCTAAGATTTTAAGTTTTAAAGCGGAGTTTTTAACTACGTAAGTTATAAAAACTGAGATTTTGTGTAGAAGCGTTTTAGTGACCTAGAAACATAAAATCATTAAGTTTTTAAGTTTTAAAGCGCGATTTTGACTACGTTGATAACAAACAATCAATCGGACAGGACTGCATGTTCAGTAGCTACAAACGAAAGCAACAACATCAAATTGGATTGAGGGATGCAATGCATCCATGGTGGACATAACCACTCAGTGTAACATTGGCCAGCCACCATGGATCCAGTTTCATCACCTACACAACAAATCATAACATTCTACTCAACAATTCAGCAACATTACTTATCCTTGTAGGACGGGTAAATGTTGAATTTCATTATATGCATTCCAAAGAGCTGAAGCAGCAGCACCATCCTTCATTCAGGACAACCTATGTTATTCAAAGCTACCCATGGTGTTTCAGACTCCATGTGCTACAAACAGCTGCGACCATTTATTTATGTTGTTCCTTGCTCTCTCCTCTATATGACTAGAGTAGCAACTCTTATGTAAAACTCAAGCTTTCCGATAAACAAACATATTAGCAAATTCATCAGTAAATGAGCTAAAACACCTCAGTAACAAACCCCAACGGTTATTCACAAACAATCAGAATGCTGAAACTCATCCATACATTCTCAAACATTCCACACCACCTGCAAAAAGTTCGAAAAATTTACAATCTTTGTTAGGGCGCTACATTTTCAAACATTCCAAAGCTAGTCGACATATATTCACAAGAAGGCGGTGTAACCCCTACATATTTCTAAGAATCTCAAGCTAGTCTCAACCATAAAATTCAATTATCTCTAGGGGGGTCTGCTCTGCCGTTCAGGAGAATAACTGAACAACAGCCAGCACACAATGACTCCAAAATGTCTGGAATTGGCAATAAACAACCACCAAAATCTAAGGACAAAATTAACAGAGGACGAAAGCTTTACCACCCTGAGCGGTGGCCATCTATTTCGACAATTTGTCCCCTTCTCGCATACTGATATTTCATCTGGCAAAATTGACAACAACGGGGGACATTAATTCTCACTCAGTCGAAAGGGAAATTGAACCGCTAAAGAACGAAAGAAATAGAGAATACTTTGCTGGAGATTAGATGCCTAACCGAAGAGGACTTCTTCATCATAGGAGGTTGAGAAGCAGAACGGGGAGAAGAAGATAATGCTTTGCTTCGGAATTGAGAGGAGCGGAAAAGGTAACCAATCGAAGCGTCGAATTTTTACTCACAGCCTCCGTCACTCCTCGGAGTTGCTGGTTTTATAGAGAGAGTATAAGCCTTCGTGTTATTACAGACAGAATGAAATGAGAGGGGAATCGTTGGATGAAAGAGGAGAATTAGGGTTGCAAACAAACTTTCAGTTCCAAATTCCGAATTCAAAATTAGGTTAAATTTCATCTCAAATTTTCCCGCTACAATTGCGCCAGGACAACTCGCGACTCGGTTTCTGCTTCGGAGGTGGATAGACGACTGCAAG